ACTATTTAAAAACGTCGCTTTGTTGGATGTTTGGAATTTCTTGCTTTCCGGCAGCGCAAAACCTGTACCTTTCAGGAACAAAAAAAAAATAAAATAACAAAAACTTTTTACTAATTTTGACTTGACTGCATTCACTACAGAAGTTCCTTCTGAATATTTGGAGTTCGATTTGCTGCCCTTTGAAGCCCACAAGGTAGCTTGCAAATTAAAAAATATGTACCCTGAAGAAAGTGGCATCAAAAGAATTATTTTAAGAGAGGGTGGTTGTCTGCGGTAGCACAGCTCGATCGGAGTCCCAGCGGGCACCTTAAGAGGCCAGCTTTGGATGTGTGGTCACATGCTTATTCACACGTGCTCATGTGACACTTCCCTAGTCTTGGCTTAGTCTGCAAACAGTTCCTCTTGGAAGGCTTATTTCTCATGCCAGCATTTGAGTGGTGTAAGCAGTTGTTCCTTACACTTGATGGCAACTCCCTTGCCTAGAGCAGTTCCTTTCCTAGCAGAAGGGGGATGGTTGGGCACCGTATGCTGTTCCCAGAGGTGCTGCCCCTGCCCTGGGTATCAGGCTCGCCCCCAAAGGAGGAGCTAATGCTCTTGTACCAACATTCCCCTAGTGTGGTGTATGTCACTGGAAACGTAGTGGAAGCCATTGGCCCAGGAGGCGTGTGGCAGAAGTTTCAACAAAGGGGAGGGCGAGTCTTTAAAAGGAGCTTTTAGGTATAGAATGTCTAGTCTTGGCACAGGCACCTTATAAGACCAACAAAGTTCAATTCTGGGTATAAGCTTTCGTGTGCATGTACACTTCATCAGATATGTGGCAACAGTTTGGGCCAGTTAATCCAGATGCAGAAGTAACTGGGCAATGACTATAGCTGAGATTGGGTTAAAGCAGTTGGTAGACCTGTGAATGGCAGCAAATTAGCATACACATACAAGAGTTAACATGTGAGAACTAAGTTTGAGTCCGGTGGCACCTTTAAGACCAGCAAAGTTCAATTCTGGGTAAAAGTAAGAGGCACACATACCTTGAAACAGATTTCCTCTGTTACATATAATTGTACAATCTGTCAGACTCCTGGAGAAATCGGTTCCCAACAACAGTCATTCAAAAGGTTTATTGAGACATTGATAGGATCCAGACTCTTAACATTTCTGTGTTAGAACTAGGGAAAAGCACTGAGGGAAGCAATTATGTATAAATCAAGCAGGACCTTAAAAGAGTCCCTCATGTTACATATAGGTGGGGGACCTTAATGGGCCAGGGCCAATCACACCTAAGCTACAGGCCTGCTGAAATAAGGGTCCACAGTTCCCAGAAGAAAGATTATGCCAAGCTTGACTGGGCTGAATAAGATAACTAAAGGCAAAATCAAAAGTGTACATTCTTCTCATCCCCCTAGGCCCCCATGGCAACCAAGCCCAAGAAAGTGGGTGAAGTTGACAGCCCAACAAAGTTTAATTCTGGGTATATACCAGAATTGAGTGACTTAGCACATGTAGTGAGATAAGAACCTGATATCTCGGTTAAGCTCTGGAGGTTCCATAGTGTTAATGACTTGTAATTCAGCAGTCTCCCATTCTAGTCTATTTCTGAAATTCCTTTGCAGTAAAACAGCTACTTAGAGGTCCCCCACTGAGAGCCTTGGGAGACTGAAATGTTCCCCTACAGGTTTCTCAGTCATGTGACTCTTGATGTCAGATGTGTGTCCATTTATCCTTTGCTGTAGGGTTTGCCCTCTGGAAAGAACTGAAGGGCATTGTTGGCATTTATAAATTAGCATACACATGCAAGAGTTAACAGATGTGAGAACTATGAGTCCGGTGGCACCATTAAGACCAGCAAAGTTCAATTCTGGGTAAAAGTGAGAGGCACACTTCATACATCGAAACAGATTTCCTCTGTTACATATAGGTGTACAATCTGTCAGACTCCTGGAGAAATCGGTTCCCAACAACAGTCATTCAAAAGGTTTATTGAGACATTGATAGGATCCAGACTCTTAACATTTCTGTGTTAGAACTAGGGAAAAGCACTGAGGGAAGCAATTATGCATAAATCAAGCAGGACCTTAACAGAGTCCCTCGTGTTACATATAGGTGGGGGACCTTAATGGCCCAGGGTCAATCACACCTAAGCTAGAGGCCTGCCGAAATAAGGGTCCACAGTTCCCAGAGGAAAGATGATGCCAAGCTTAACTGGGGCTCAAGGTTGTCTGGACTGAATAAGATAACTAAAGGCAAAATCAAAAGTGTATATTCTTCTCATCCCCATAGGCCCCCATGGCAACCAAGCCCAAGAAAGTGGGTGAAGTTGATAGCCCAACAAAGTTTAATTCTAGGTACATACGAGAACTGAGTGACTTAGCACATGTGAGATAAGAACCTGATATCTCTGTTAAGCTCTGGAGGTTCCATAGTGTTAATGACTTGTAATTCAGCAGTCTCCCATTCTAGTCTATTTCTGAAATTCCTTTGCAGTAAAACAGCTACTTAGAGGTCCCCCACTGAGAGCCTTGGGAGACTGAAATGTTCCCCTACAGGTTTCTCAGTCATGTGACTCTTGATGTCAGATGTGTGTCCATTTATCCTTTGCTGTAGGGTTTGCCCTCTGGAAAGAACTGAAGGGCATTGTTGGCATTTAATGGCACATAGTCTTAGGAGATGAGCAAATGAGTGAGCCTGAGATGGTGTAGCCCTGATGTTGAATCTAGTCTTGGCACAATAATTCCAACCTTGTCCCATGAAACCAAGGCTCGAGTGAGACAAGAGAAGCTGCCTGCCTGTTGCAATCTAAGAATCTAGAAGAATCATAGAATGTTAGAGTTGGAAGGGACCTTGCAGGTCATCTAGTCCAACCCCCTGCACTCTGCAAGAGCATAGAAGAAGAGGAGATTGGATTTATACCCCGCCCTTCACTCAGAGTCTCAGAGCGGCTTACAAACTCCTTTCCCTCCCCCTCCCCACAACAGACACCCTGTGAGGTGGGTGGGGCTAAGAGCTCTTTCCAGAATCCTTGAGAGAACAGCTCTGACAGAACTAAGGCTTGCCCAAGGTCATCCAGCAGCTGCAAGTGGAGGAGTGGGGAATCAAACCCGGTTCTCCCGGATTAGAGTCCGCACACTTAAACACTACACCAAACTGGTTGGCCTGTGGTGATGTGGCGGGGGGAGGGGTGTCCGCGCCAACAAACACCCTGCTGGCCAAAATGCCTCTGCTTTGAATCCTGAAACGGCCCCGCTTATTAGGTTCGGGAAATAATGAAGAGCCTTGTGTGACAAAGCGAGCGGGAGACATCTGCCCCCACACCCACACAACGCTGACTTTAAATAGAACCAGCAGGCATTACGTAAAATCCTATTTTCCCAGAGCTTGCCTGTTTGGGGTCAAAGGCAGATCATTCGCCTTTTATAACAGAGGAGGACAAAAAAAATATGCAGCTGCGTTGGCCGGGAATCGAACCCGGGTCAACTGCTTGGAAGGCAGCTATGCTCACCACTATACCACCAACGCTGGATGTGGAGACAGGGCTGCTGGAATCTAGAAATGCGGGAATTGAGAGAGAGAGTGTGCAAACGATTGGGAGGAGCAGACTCAGCAGTGGGGAACTCTCCTCCCCCTTCCGCCCACATGGGAAGCCGTGCCAAGTCAGCAAAAACCCTGCGACTGACAGCCACAGCTGAGAAAAGCATCTGCTGGCAGCGGTGGGATTCGAACCCACGTCCCCAGAGAGACTGGAGCCTAAATCCAGCGCCTTGGACCGCTCGGCCACGCTACTTTAAGTGTGGGCGTGGGGCCTCTAACAGAATCACAGAAAGCTGAACGTAGGTAAAAAACAAAACAAATCCCCAAAACATGTGGGGCAACACTCGAAAACGCCTCCTTGGTGGTTTCAGGCTGAGCAATGTTGAAAGAGCCCCCCCCCATCCCCCTTTAACCAAAGGAACGTCCAGGTTTTGAATAAGCGTAAGGTTTGGATCCCTTCACTTGCTGGTTGCTGATTACTAAGTGGAGAATGGTGGAATATGTGTTGTTGCATGTACTGTTTTGCGAAAACATACATAGGATTGCATGCTGCCTGCTATAGTGGTCAAGTGCCGGGTTAGTATCTTTGAGACCCAGGTTTGAATCCCGCCGCACACGCCATGGAAGCTCACCGGGTGACCTTAGGCCACTCACACACTTTCAGCCTAACCTACCTCATAGGGTTGTTGTGAGGATAAAACACAGGAGGGGAGAAAGATGTAGGATGCTTTGGGTCCCCAGGGGGAGGTGTCCCCAGATCTTGCCTCATTCATCCTGTATTGTCCCAACCCATATTGGAGGTATAAGGATGCACACAGCTGCCCTGGGTTCGACTCCTGACCAACACAACTGGCTGCCCTAGTGGTTCTCAAGTCTTTTGGGAGGGGAGCCCCACTTTTGAACGACTTGGGGGGGGCTCACTCACTCCTCCCTTCTCCTCAAGATAAATGGTCTCTCATCTGTGAACTTTGGACAAGGTTTCTCCCCCCCCCACACACACTATTTTTAGCATTTATACCACTGGTGGCATTTCACGGCATGCAAAGCCCAAGACCAGTTTCCCACCCAGCCTTCTCTCCCCGCTCCCCCCCCCCCCTTTCTTTTTCCCCCCCCTCCCTCCGCGGATTCGGGATAGGACCCCTTTGGCTCCCCCCCCACACCCCCTAAAAAACCCACCTTGAGCATTCTTGTAGTTTCTGCCAGGCTGTCCGGCCTCAAAGGAAGAGGAATTGTAGCCCTACAGTTGTGTAGGACAAGGGTGCATGTAACAGTTGCCAACCTCCAGGTGGGCCCTGGAGACCTCCCTCTAGTACACCTGATCTACAGATGACAGAGCTCAGCTCCCCTGGAGAGAATGGCTACTAAGGAGGGTGGGCTCTGCCGAAGTCCCTCCCCTCTCTAAGATCCACCCCCAAATCGCCAGGAATTTCCCGACCCAGAGTTGGTAACCCGAGTGCCCTGCACAAAAACCCACCAGAGCCTGGCGGGTGGGGGTGGCGCTTTCCCCAAACTTCCCTGGGTCGCAGAGCCCGTTCCCCCCGCCGGAGCCAGAACAGCAGCAGCTGCTGCCGCCGACTCGCAACCGCGGCCCGTCCAGACGTGCGCCGGGAACTCGGGAGCAATGCTTCCTCTAAGCTGTGGAGTCCCGTGAGCAAAGATTCTACTTTGTGAGCTCCTGGCATTGAAGTTGTGAGCGAGCGATTTGGCTACTGCCTAAATTAGTTTGCCCTGGAGCCCTCCTTCCTGAGGTGAGACAAAAACGGGTGAGCCAGAGGCTAAAAACCTGTGAGCTAGCTCACACGAACTCAGCTGAGAGGGAACACTGCTCGGGAGAGTCGTGCTTTCCCCCGGCCCGGAACTCAGGACAAGCGCACGTCTGGAACGGAAAGCGCCGTCTTCCCGGACCCGGGATGTTCCCTCTAAGCCGTGGAGTCTCATGAGCAACAATTCTACCTTGTGAGCTCCTGGCATTAGAATTGTGAGCAGGTGATTTGGCTGCTGCAGAAATCAGTTTGCTCTGGAGCCCTCCTTCCTGAGCGAAGACAAAAATCTATGAGCTGGAGGCTAAAAAACTGTGTGCTGCCTCACACTAACTCAGCTTGGAGTGAACACTGCGGCGCCAGATTCTCCACGGAAAAGGTCTCCGGAGGACCCTGCAGGACCCCAGCAACGACCCCGCTTCGCAGGCAGACCCTTCCCAGCAACGGAGACACCCCCCCCCCGCCTGAGTCGGGAGGCGACAGCGGAGCCCCTTCCTTCGCCCTTACCTCCCGGCGGCGGCGGGAGTCGCCTGGCTCAGCGCGCACCTGCAGCTGCTACGCGTGGGCCACCCCTGGGGGCCGCCATGACACCCGCACGCCCCGCCCCTTCCCGGGCACGTCACTTCTCGCGAGAATTGGGAGGGAGGGCGCAAGAGGCGCGCGCCAAGGCGCTAGTCCGCAATAGACACGGGCAGCCCTAGACGGGAAGGGGCGCCCTTTTCCTTCCCCCCACGCGGAGCAAAAGAAATCGCAGAAGATGGCAAAGGGACTTCAGGCTTGCGTGGAGTTTTCCAGGCGTGGCCCTGGAAGGGCTTCCTGCGCTGGGACGAGGGAGAGTCCCCCCCCCCCCCCACCCCTTGCAAAGAATAAGTCAATGCAATCAATAGGATTTTATAGGGCACCTGGTGAGCCCCCACTGTTACAGTTGATCTCCAGAGGACCCAGATCAGTTGCCCTGGAAATAATTGCTACTTTGGAGAGTTGACTCCAGGGCCGTGCACCCGACTGAGGTCCCTCCCCACCCAAAACCCCGCCCTCTCCAGGCCCCACCCAC